TTGTTTATTTTGCAAGACGATTTGAACCCTGTTCAAGCAGCTTTTAGGTGCCCTCTCTGGGATGAAACAAGCAACTTAATTACTCACCACCTACGCACAGCAAGTGCATGGGATCAATGTGCCCTAAGACTACTGAAAAACATTACATAACTAAGCAGCCTTAAATCAGTCATAGTGATAACTTGGTTAAAAAAATCATCTAGGGAGACTTTCCCCCACGTTTGTTTCCTTTTAAAAATTCTGTGAATTTTTCAACTTCCTTTCGCTTACATTGCGAGACAGCGGTTGTTTTACGAGCTTTTCCCTCTATGTTGACCAGCCAAAACTTATTCCAGCGTTAACGCTACGTCATAAAATTGCACCCGTGAAACTCTCCCTTTGAAGTATCTACCATCATCCTCCTTTGCACCGATTCTAACTTCGTAGTCAGTTGCCAGTGAACGAGCTCCAATATCCAGCCAACCGACCTCTATACCATCGACCCACATTCAAGTAATCCGATTGTTGTAATCATAGGAAGTGGCTACATATGTCCACTGCTCCATGGCCAGTGGGGTAGGACTTTCTAAATATTTTATCAACGATCCATCCCTATCGACCATACGGGAGAAAAACTTTCCTCCGTTCACTAGCCATGTGTGAACTCCTCATCCTCCCGAGGGTTTATAGTTAAAAAGAGGCCCATCTTGCCCTTGTGGATACACCCACATTAGCACTGTCAAGGAATACTGGATATCCAAACCACCAAGATTGGGGAGTGCGATAAAGTTGTCTGGAGTACCCAGGAACTGGTAAGAGCCCTCGCATTTCTCATCCGGTCCATCGGCGAGCTGTACATTGGAGGGAATACCATCTGGTTGATTGCCCATCATGTCTTTTGTACCATAGTCAGTATTTTAAGGGTAAAGGGCAATAGGTTCCTTCACAGCTGAAATAAAAGAAGTTTCGATGAACATAAAAACTGCAACGGCCAATGTGTCTAAAATGTAGTGTAACAGATACGTGATAGAAAAGACGATGGCAAAGAGTGATCAAAGAAGAAAATATATTTGAAAGCAAAGTGTATACAGCCACAAAGGAGCTTCATTATTCATAGCTTTTTTTTTTTTTCTGTACTCACTGCACATGGAGATTACCTATCTCGCAGTTCTCCCCTTCAAAGCCGGGCAGACAAACATATTTGTATCTTTTCGTAGTGAAACCAACTTGACACTGTGCATTTACAGGACATGGGCTACTTTCACAGTGGTTCTTCAAAAATAATGTCGGTCAATAAATGCAACAAATAACGATTTCTAGGAAAAAGACACATGATCCTTGGGTACGTAAGCTTACTGGTACGATAATTTTTCAAAGATTACTTTCCTCACTCACCAACACGTTTCGATAAATGTAGCCTTCCTTCGTTATGAAGTCAGCATTGGAGGCTTGCCCATGGCTTCGACGGTTCAGGTCACACTGCTTATTTTCGCTGTCGCCGGGACCGCAGTTGTAAGAGAAAACGTTTAGTTCTTCATAATAGTAAACTCCGCAAATATCGTTGCTTTTGACCGTCACAGTTCTGATAATACAGTTTTCTAGGATCTCATCCATTGTGTAAGGTTCGAATTGAATGTTTCTGCAGTTACCTGGAAGGCATGTCCCTGTTGTGAAAACAAGAACCACAATGATACTCGAAAAGTAGAAAGGACTGATTTTGATTGACCGGAATATCAAAACTGTGAGGAGAAGGTCATTTACTTATCTCCTGAAGACAAGTAATTTATAGTGCCATGTGTACCCAAAAAATCTAATTTTTCGGTCACCAATGTAAAGAATAAATTGCAGTCTTTGTTACAAATATTGATGAAACCAGTATGATATCAACAAAGACAAATATTGCATTAGGACCATAGTTTTTCTTAAGCACCTTTCTCTTCCAAGTTTTCTAACTATGTTCTAGATTTGGCATAAAGCTTTAGTGCTAAATTTGCCTAATTCGTTTGGTTATTTTGTACATGTACATAAGATCGATTACTTTGAAGTGATGTACGCCTGATTATCAATAAAGTGCACTTTCTAGAGTTTCTTCTTTGGCTAAACTGAATTATTTCCAATGGAGATTTCATATATCGTTTTCAGTTAAGTGATCACTTTACAATTGGCCGCTATGTTGGTGCACGTGTAAACAGTAAACATACATCGCGTGAGCTTTAGCAAAAATGGTTTATGTGTGCGATTTTTGGCTGTGGAACCCGAACTGATCGCGATAAAGGAGTTTATATGGCAAGAATACCTTCAGTTATAACTAATCAAGGCGAAGAAATAAGAAATCTTTCCGAGGAAAGGCGAAAAAAATGGATTTCTGCCATCAGCCGAAAAGACCTCACGGACAGCATTTTGGAGCACGGACGAGTCTGTGGTAGACATTTTATATCCGGAAAAGCAGCAAAACTGTGTGATAGGTACTATCCAGGCTGGATTCCAACCCAAAACTTAGATCACGATAAATGTGATTCCGTCGAAAAGCTTCAAGCCGATCTAGAAACTGCCGCGAAACGAGACCAGAGAGCCAGAGATCGAGAGATGAAACGTATTGTGGCAGAAAATGAGGAGCGGCTCATGGAAGAAATCGAGGCCAAAAGACAAAAAATTGGTGAACCAGGAGAAAAGGTTACATACATTTCTTTCAATTCTGACTCGGCGATGAAAGTGGAAACTGAAACGGGAACAGCTACGCAAACAGAGCAGTTTTGCTATTTACTTCACACCTCGACTGCCAAACCACCATTCGATGAGGCTTACTTCGCAAATGGCAATGAAAATGTGAGATTTTACGCTGGGTTGCCTCCTTATGACGTCCTGCAAACAGTTTAACAGTATGTTACAAAATTCGTTGTAAGGAAGTCGCCAACTTGTACCAATTTCAAGTAATTTGTCCTCACTCTAATGAAACTTAAACTGAACATGCCAATGCAGGATTTTGCCTATCGCTTTGGAATTTCCGTTGCAAATGTTTCAAGGACATTCTCTGCTTGGATGGTCGTTCTTGATGTTCGATTAGTGCCCTTATTAAAGTAATAATCCAGATTTGGATTAAGGACTCGTTCATTCGCTGCGAGTGCCGCACTTTTGCCAACACGACAAAGTTGCTTGCGTTGATAATAATAATAATAATAATAATTGTAATAATAATAATATTTATATAGCGCGCACATCAAAAGCTTCTCGTGGCGCTTTACAATAATGTAACATAATAAAATAACCTCATAAACATAAATAAAATTCAATCAAACAGAAGAGAATTACTAGTTACAAATTTTGAAAAGAGAAAAGTCTTCATGTTCTTTTTAAAAATAGTTACCGAGCTAGATTTACAAATTGGAAAAGGAATACTGTTCCACAAATTAGGTGCGCACACAGGAAAAGCTCTGTCCCCGTAGGTCTTTGTCTTTGACACAGGTTGCACAAGATAGTCCATAGCGCTAGAACGTAAAGATCTTGATGATAACTTGATATTGAGTAGATCAAGAACATATGACGGACAGAGACCATTGACAGACTTGTACACCAGCCACAGAAGCTTGAACACAGTACGATAAGATATAGGAAGCCAGTGAAGCTGCACTAGTGAGGGAGTGACGTGATCAAGTTTGCCCTTGCAAGTGACAAATCGAGCAGCTGTATTCTGTATTTTCTGTATATGATATCCACTTGCACGTTGTAAACAAACCCCGAAACCATTTGATTGTAAGCCTCTAGACTGCGAAAGGGTTTAAATTGTTTTGTGGGTGTAAAAGCTGGTCTCCAGAACCAAACAACAAAGTAAATCAGTCGATTAAAACGACGGAAGACAGTCAGGTTCGAATTGTTTCCCCTCTCTCAAGGCAGGATAGATTCCAATCGTCGAGATTTTCTTTAGATAACGCTCTCTGACTTCCCATCCAGCCTTTTAGCGTAATCAGATAGTGGAGTTTGGACTACATTGTCTGGAACAGATGAAGGAATGGATTTTTTCTTTTGCTCAGAAGCCATATTTTTCGACTGTGATTTGACAAGCATTAAAACTTTGGATGCTGTTTGCATATATTTCTTGCTGAAACACGTGACTCGGATGGACACCAACATGGCGGACATTAATTCTGTGACGTCAGGTGAAAACGATCTATAAATCTATAAATATACATATTAAACCTCCCACACGGTATACATAACTTCCCCTCGATGGAACAATTTTCCAAATTCATTCGATCATTTTGGGCAGATCGATTAGTTTGGAGTGATAAACGCTGAGAGCATTATCAATTAACTACGCTTTCTAAAGTGATACTTTTCTGAATTGCTTCGAAAAAATTTTTCTTTCTTCCATTTCCTTTATTAGGGTATTTGCAAAATTTAACACAAAAATAGAAGTGTATAACAAATAAACATGGCCTCAGTTTTGGTGGAGATGGCAACTATATAACCAAACTTTCCAATATTCCTTCCATATCGATCTTTCAAGTAAAACCGGAGCGTAGCCTACTACAAAATGAATAGGGAAAAATAAGTGATTCATACTTGCCTCCGTCAACTGGTGCTACAGAAAAAAGCAATGCAATTATTTCTACAAGGGAATTCAGCTCAATCATCTTCCTGGAAGGTCGCAGCAATACTTTGCACAAATGTCTTATCGATAACTGAGTCAGTGGCTGGTTCAGACAACAAATTGAATGAAGGAGCCTAACTCAGTTGGCTCAAAACAAACCACCTGCAATACGGAAAGCGCATGTGTCCTAAAAAGTCATTACACTCTGCTGGCGCCATCGATCCTGATACGACGATCCCATTACTATGTGTACTCTTGACCGAATTTCTTTATTTACTTTCTTTGACCTGTCCTAGTTTCTATCTTTCTCTTTATGTTTATTTGTTCTTTCCACACATGTAAATATTTTAAGTCTATCTTGTGAATATAAGTGATGAAGCCGTTAATTATTGAGGCCGCACTTTCCATGATCTACTCATTAAGAGGCTACTTTAAAGGACCATGTATATGACAAAACTTGTAAACAGCTACCATGATAGAGTGTTGTTTATTTGCTCTACATAAAGTTGCAGCAATATAGCGGAAGCCTTGAGCGTTTTTTCATGATACACGTGCACTGTTTGAAAATGTGCCATAAGTAGTCACTCTGCATCATACTGATTGCATTAAATTATATTGCGCGGTCGGTGATCAAGAGACACAAAGAATGTTATTACTTTGGTGTGAACCAGTATAAAAGATTATTTTTACCTCCAAAGTATGATTGGCATGAGTTCTTTAGAAAAAAATATTCGTACAATTAGCTTAGACATACACTTTTATACTGTAGTAATAGGAAGATACAGCCTACAGGACACTTCACTTTTCGTCTGTAATTACACTGAAGTGGATATTCTGATTGTGTTTCTCTCTGCAACTATGCCAGGCCTTTTATCTTCTGCGTGCAATTTTTTTTTTATCATGTCAATTGTATGGGGCTCGTCTTTGCACTGCTTCTCAAATGCCATTAACGGTGAGGAAAATAAACCAACATGAAAACGATGATGATTAAAATGATTCAATAACAAAATCCAGCCTAATTTTTTTATTTTCTTTTACAAATGCAAAGAACACGGTGGCAATGAATAACGAATTAAAACAAATCAATCAAGAAGATAGTAAAATCTCGATTGTCTGAAGTGTTTTTGTTGCATCAATGCAATATATTCAGTATCACTAGCATTAATTTCAAGCATGAGAAGAGAGGAAAACTTTACATTCTTGAATCCTAACATATAAAATGATAGTTGTAACATTTGTTTTAGATCTTTGTCGATCAATATTATTTGAAACAACAATAGAAGGCTACTCCCTCGATATGATGAAAACCCTGACGGCAGGAATTCGTAGGTCCTGTAAGAATCTCTGCACGATGGAAAGCCAATGTGTCTCCATCAACATTGGTGTGCCATTAAATGGCAAGGTTACTTGGGAGCTGAGTGATTCTGAACAATTTTAGTATCCAGCAGATTCTTGACCCAAGAGAAGGCTTTATTTACAGAGCCATTCAGGTGAATATATCAGCGTTGATGATGCTACATCCGGGTTATAATGAGATCAGTTATTCCCTCCACGCTTATGAGAATAAGTGGGTATACAGGCGAACTGTTAGGGAAACCTGGACCAATATCCCTGGACCAATATCCCAATTAGGAAGAGAATAACATCAACAATCGTTTCAAGTTAGAAGAACTTTGATAGGGGCCTTACGGCTAAGGTCTGTGATCCGGAGACATAGCCTTTTCTTCGTATAGTTCATGCGCGCACAGCTATCCCTCCAACTATCGTAAATTACTCGTACTCCCCTTAACTAAAATCGTCAAAGAAGTCGTCACACTCGCGCGACGCTATTCCATTGCCTTTGCTTACCGCAGAACTATTGCTCCAATAAACCCTGCAAGAATAACAGAACGTGCTT